TATATATATATATATAATATTATTATGTTATACATTCTTCAAAATGCTGATAGTCAAACTTTACTATGGTCTTACTGTAGCCAAAAGAAATGTATCAACATTAATTTGAATACATTTGTTATTATGTGTGGTGTAAGACTGAGGGATTTTGAATTGGATGGACATTTATATTTTAGGTTTGAGGCTTAGAGTAACATACCATACTGCCCCTAATTAATGCCCCTGGGGGCATTGGAAACTGCAAAGGGGGTGCTAATTATAGTATCTGTGCAGTTCCAGATTCTATTTTTCACATGCAATTTGTTGATTTCAGTTCTAATGTGTGTGTGTGTGTGTGTTTCATTTTCTTTCTTTTTTCAAATCAAAATTACAGTAATAAAAGTGGATTATATGTTGGATTATTGTTGCTGTTACACAAGGTAAGCTTTATAAAAATACTGTGGGACCATAATTAGGAGTAATACGGTATATGTTTGGGTGTATAATTCAGAACTTTCCGGAGCTTTCGTGGCTGCTGAGAAATCTACCTGGAATACTTTCTGGCAATAGGTTGAAAAGTGTACAAAGCAAAAACTACTTATTCAACAGTCAACATATGATATTAAAATGTGATGTCCTTCAGACAAATCTTGTCTTGGATATTGTGCAATACAAATTTCACACCTTTCTAAAGTAAAAACTTACGAAAAAGAAACTAAATAAATGAAAGCAAAATGCTGTTTCAAGTAAAAAGATATGACTCTTTTTTTGTATGAGAAAAAAATTATTCTTAATAAATTATCCTAATTCTAATGCTAATAGTTAGTCCGCATCTTACTCTTAACAACAGTGTAAGAATGTGAAGATGAGGTGTTCAAAAACAACTTTTGTGTCATTAAAAAACAGATGTGTAAAGTGTTTAATAAGTCACAGAAAATTGTATTATTTTATTTTCAATATGTAACAGAGTTGGAAAATATATTCATTATATATTATACTTCTTCTCTTTTGCATCTAATATTATTTCAGTGACTCTAAATAAATGATAAAATTATAAAATAATCCACTAGATTTGCAATAGTGATCATAACACACTTATCAGTTGCTCAGCAGGCCCTTGGGGTGTTAGTCACAAAATTATAATTCAAGTACATCAGTTAAGGTTAAGGTAGTTAAGTTATGAAGCAATGTTGTTTTCTTTTTTTAGTCATTCAATTAATATCTGATTATCTACCCCCTACATCTTGTCTGGAGAATCCAAATCTTCCAGCATACCAAGTCTCTTGATTTGTGAAATGCAATCATCCTAAAGTTAACATTTTCCTAAACTGAAAATGTATTTCCAATAGATACTTACCTCCTCTCACAAAATGTTTTCTCGATTAGCACTGCCCTCTATCAGTGCAAATGTTTAGCTTGTAACTCCAACTTCTTTCTGCATATCTACATGCAAATAATCATGCAGCAACCCTCCACCAATAGAAGTGCAACACTACCCCTATCATAACAAGTGCCCTCTCTAATAATGCACCTGGTAATCACTTCAAGCTTGGTCATGATCCCGTCACCCAATACACTGGAAGTGGGGAGGATGGGTGGGAAATGTGAGAAGTCAAATATCCATCAGAAATACATTTTCAGTTTACGAAATTGTTAACTTCCAATGCAACTTACCTACACTTACAAAAAGCTAGAATCTCACACTGAACTGGGGAAGGGCTGATGAGAATATGATCCTCTTTAAAGTGCCCAAAGAAAGAACATGTGGTGTGGTAGGGAATTAAAAACAACACACCAGTGCATGATGCACCACTTCTGAGACAGTATACTCTTTACCCTTCAGGAATATGTCACCAAAACATAAAGGTTGGAAACATGGAGGGGCTCAAAAAATTTTCAGCAAGAAAAGAACCACAGGTGACAAGTGACTTAGGTGCGACAGACCATAAATGGGAGACTGAACTCAACCAGCACCTAGCAGCATCTAGAATTGGACATCAGGTCTGCAATAGGAAGAGGGTCCTCTACCTTTCACCTCAAAAATGTATACTGGAAGGGATGATGAGTTTCCATACCAAGAACCAAACTCCGCATATGCACATCTCCAACACCTGATCCATTGGAAAGCAAAATCCAGCACATGGTAGGAAGTAAGAAGAGCTCAGGAGCCATTAATCTCTGGTCCAAAACCTGACAGCATTAGGAATGTGTTCTCCAGTCCTCAGTAGCAACCCAGCCTTACACATGCAGGAATTCATGGATCTCATCCAGCTTCAAACCAATACCAGATCTATTGGGAACCGAAATCTAGTAGTCAGTAAGGAAGAGGGATCACAATCTGGGATTGCATCTCCAATCCAAAACCTGGCAGTGTTGGGAATTTATTGTCCAGTTCAATATAGGAGGAGAGTACCAGCCAAACACATGTGAGGACTTATGTGGTTGGACCATCTCCAACCAACACCTGATCCACAAGGAAGGAGGAATGCCTCAACCAGAGGGGCAAACTCCAATATATGTGGAGTGCTACAACTAACACTTGGCAGCAACTGGAATTATACATCAGGTCCACGGTATGTATGGCATCACACCATCAAGGCCAGCACAATGCTACCACCCTGCTCTCAAACTGAGTGGTATTATGCACCCTCAGAAGGACAGGCCTCCATGGCCCACACACTCAGCAGCTAGGAACTGGTAAGTGGCAAGTACTCCCATACTCCAATACTCTACTGGAAGAAGGTGTGGGGGGTGGATGCATTGGACAATCTGGAGGAATGCAGCCCTGGAGACAGTGCAATGGGTAACTGCAATACCCTATTTAAAAAAGCAGGGCTACTACACTGGTGATCAACCAACACTTGGTGACATTTGGAATTGTACATCAGGTCCACGGTAGGAAGAACCTCAACATTATAGTCATCTAACACAAGACAGACATTATGGATTTGAGACTAAGTATACATGGTTAGGCATGGCTCACCACAGAGCAGGATCTATAACTGGTGAGCAAGAGGCCCCTGTACAAGAAAAGAAACTAAGTACTTACCAGTCACAAAGAAACAGAGGTGTGCTGAATAGCAACTGGAGGTAAGCGGAAACCCACAGAGCTTGAAATGGCCAAGTGATATAGGTAGTGAGATGTAAACATATGCAGGGTAGTCCACATACCTGTGCTGATGACGTCCTTCAAAGGAAGATAGAAATGGGCAACCAGGGACATGGTCAAGTAATAGGTCTGATCGGGCAAAAACACAAAAAAGGTAACAAAAATCCAGAGAAAGGGAAGAATACACCAAGCAAAGAACTAGAAAGATCCAACCCATAAGAATAACGGGAGAAAGGTCACATGAAACAGTAGGATTCCAATGAATAAACAATTGGACATGGGAACCACAGAAGGGAGCAGTGCTTGTCATATACCATCTAAGGGCCCTGACTGGGCAAAGGAGGCAACCAGGATCTTAGCTTTCAAAGTTGGTGATGGAGGGAAGGAAAAGCAAAAAGGGTAACATCAATTGCAAAAACATCGGAAAGATAGGGACCACACATCAACAAAAATGGAAACAAGGACTTCCATGAAAGGTGACATAGTGAGCAAGAAGACAAAGGTTCAAATGAAGAACAAATAAGAGTGTGAAGGACAAGGGAGGACAAGCAATGAAGAAAGAATGAAACAACAAAGATTGGACAGAAGAGTGGAACCCACAAGCAAATTTGGTAAACCAAAAGGTGGAAGACAAAGCTGCCATGTAACCTGCAACAGAGGAAATCGATAGGTCCCTGTCATAAAGCCAAGTGAAAAACGATGACAAGTGATGAATGATAGGTCGAGATGGATGGTAACCCCAATGTATAAACCAAGAGTGGTAGTAACCTACTTACTCTGCTAAATCACCAATGATGATGGTCAAACTGGATAGGAAATCAAGGAGGCAAATTGCCTGGAAAGTCCAGGCAGTCAGGCGAGGGACTGGACAAAAGCCTAGAATGAAGATAGAGTGTGGGTAGAGAAGGATGACACATGCCAGAGCGATGTTGGTGAAGGAGCATGGAAGACAAAGTGAGAGGAATGAGTGATGATACCAACAGCTGTCATAGAAGTGGAAACCACATCCGAGTTGGCCTATACAGTATCTCCAACAGAACTTGACAAGGAGTGGTCAGAATTATCCAAAGGACATAAGAAAGAAGCTGAATAGGAGGATAGTCATATAGGTAACAATTGAACCAATTCTGGCAAAGAGCATCCATTGCATCTGCCTGCAGATGTGTAACAGGTGACCAAAAATGTAAAAATGTCGAAATTGTGTGTTGAGAGGAGGTGCAAATGTTTCCAAATCAGGGTCACTCCAATGAGCAAACAATTCCCCAAAAACAATAGGATCCAAAGACCACTCTGTCAGTAGAATACTGTCTGGTCAGGATAACCAATCAATAACAAGATTCAGGGCTCCCAGAATAGGACACACTAGCATAGTAAATTGATGGCTGTGGGCTAAATAAAGAAGACCTAAAGTTCAAAAACAAAGGTTCCTCAACTGAGTGCTTCCTTTACCTGGTGCTATAGGACACCACCATCAAAGTTTCCAAGGGAATCATCACCACCTGTCTCTGAAGAGACAGAAGGAATTGAAGGACAACTCGCTGAACAGGAAGAAACTCCAAGATATTGATATGGAAAGTGGATTTGATAGGAATCCACCATTCAGAAACCTCCTGACAGACGAGATACACTCCCCAACTGGAAAGAGAAGCATCTGTAAAAAGGTGACAATCTGGATGAAGTAGAGGAAAAGGAACCCCTTTGGTAGTATTGGTCCAATCCAGCCACCAGGCAAAGTCTGTCAGTAATAGAGATGGAAGGGTAAGAGGAGAATCCAAGAGATCCTCAACAAAGCTCCATGGTCAATTAAAGCCCCATGAAGGTGGCACCAGTGGGTCCAACAAAAAAGAATGGAGTCTTCAAATGTTAGGTCAACACAATCTTTATAACACAAAAGTAAACAAAACATAGATCAAAACAGTTTTAATCAAGCAAAAATACATAAAAGTTAGGTCAACACAATCTTTATAACACAAAACAAAACATATCAAAACAGCTTTAATCATGCAATAATACACAAAAGTTAGATCAAAACAATCTTTACAACACAAAAGTAGATAAAACAAAGATCAAAACAGCTTTAATCATGCAATAATACACAAAAGTTAGGTCAAAACAATCTTTATAACACAAAAGTAGGCAAAACAAAGATCAAAACAGCTTTAATCACACAATAATACACAAATGTTAGATCAAAACAATCTTTATAACACAAAAGTAGACAAAACATAGATCAAAACAATCTTTATAACACAAAAGTAGACAAAACATAGATCAAAACAGCTTTAATCAAGCAAAGATACACAAAAGTTACATCAACACAATCTTTATAACACAAAAGTAAACAAAACATATATCAAAACAGCTTTAATCACGCAACAATACACACAAAAGATAGGTCAAAAAATTTTTATAACACAAAAGCAGACAAAACATAGATCAAAACAGCATTAATCATGCAATAATACATACAAAAGTTAGGTCAAAACAATCTTTATAACACAAATTTTAATCACATTTGTCAAACTAATGTTTTCATTTTATAAAAAAATTAAAACATGAAAGGAAACAAATGTGAAACATGAAAAACAAATAACATTTAAAATGAAATTAGACTCAACAATAAAAAGGTACAAAAAATTAAGTTTTTCAATATTTGACAAAGCAAGTGTCAATCAGATCACAACTATAAGAAATTGAAACAAAAGCTCAAATTAATGCAACTAAGTACATGTATAAAAAATGATGTTGCATAGAAATAATAGAATTTCCAGTAATGGATATTACCTGAATTCTTTAAGTATGATGTAACAAAAAGTACTTTCTTCTCAAGTAAATAATCTATAGTATTAAGTTCAATAGCTAATCTGTTATGTGGTTTTATGTTCTCCACAAAACTCATATAAAACACTGAAGCTTTACAAATTCCAGTAATAATTTGCATTAAAGGATTTTATTAAACATACATTTGTAAATATAATTCCAGTATGAAGTAAAAATCATAGCAAACTATACATCACAAGCAAAAGTACCCATCCCCAATGAAGGAAAAAGTTTAAGTTAATCTATCAATTTGAATTATTTCATGGACTTTAAAAACATTAATTGTGTTGGAATTTCAGTCGTACTCAGAGCTACTTATACTGCCCACCACAAAAAAGTAATTGTTGAGCATTTCAGTCATGCTGAGAGCCACTCAACGGTAACATACGGTAAATCTACATTTTTATTCTTTAAGTTACGACACATTTTGAAATGTGAATGATAGTGTGATTAATTCCTGACAGTTTAGTGTAGAACATCCTGCTTGCAAAATAAAACTTGGCATCAACATTATTCATGTTTGTTCTCCTGTCATTTCAAAAGAATCCATGCTTTGCCTGCATGCACAGCTTTTCAAACATGATACAGATGAACACTCGAACAGACACCATGGTTCGCAATATATATAAGATTTATAAATATTTATATACAGTATATTAGCTTAATAATTAAATGTTTTCATTTATTAAATCATTTAATAACTCACAACCAATTCAACAACTATTACTCAACCAATTACATTGATGATGTTATTCCTATACATATATGCTTCCAATCCATGACCATGGAATGTACTTTACAGAAGTCATAATGATAGCTAGCTAAATCTGTATAAGTGGTACAATGTTAACCTATCAAATTAATCATATTTTTAAATCTATGTAGGCAGTACTAAATAATTGATTTAATCAACATAAATATCAATTATAAAAACAAATAGGACATAATGTAAAAAAAAACACATTAAGCAATATTATGTTCATTACAATTGGGACTTGTCAAATCAAACTGACACAATAGGCCTAAAGTTCAGGTTTCTTAATTCATTAAGCAAGTTATTGTGACTTTAGATAGACCTCAGACAGACACTATTCACTTTAAACTAATTTTGTTAACTCAGATCAATTCACAGCAGTTACTAAATTCTCTCTGAATGCACTAGTTCGCATATTTGTAATATACCTGGTTAAGTTTACAAGTAAAGGCTTGAAGGATAAAAAAAAGCTGGGTAAATCACAAAAAATATGAAACCCTTACACCTTCAACAGGTGGACCTGTCTTCTATTTACACGTAAAGTGAGACTGTTTAGTACTTTTTCATGAATATGATATACATGAAAAAGACTTACTTTTTTCTGACCAACATAAACAAATGACCCTTTCCCTTCTCTGGCTGGACGGTTTACAACTATTCCCTCCCTGAATGGGCATATGTCCTTTGTTCTTAAGTGATGAGGTGAGTCAAGAGGGTTAAGAAGACCTGGCAAAAACAAACAGAATTAAAATTTATCAAAATTATCAAAGCCAATTTCTTACTTACTATTTTGTACATCTGAGAATTTAGAAATATATGCGTGTATATATATATATATTTATCAATGATAAGTTTCAGTATTTAACATATTTCTTATTGAGAAAATCAAACTATTTTTCAAATATATTTCTTTTCTTAAATAATCAAAGGGACTAGAGTAAGGCAGCCAATTAACTCTATAACTCTAGACAGCACTCCTCAAAAATTTGGTTACAATTGGAATTTTATTTCAATTAATTTACTTAAGATTTACAAAAGAAAAATAAAAGACTAATATGGTATAACATCGGATTAAAAAAAACGACAACAGCTGTATACTAGTTTGGCTAAAAGTACAGTGTGCTGCTGTATCTAAATTATACAAAATGTGGAAAAACATCACAATAACATGAACACTTAATCATTAAATGGTTGTTTCTAACAATAAAAGTGTATTTACAAATTTCCTATGCACTATGTTTGGGACTCTACATTTGTACCATCACTGATTTCACTGCTAAGCATCCACAAGTCCATGTATAAAATGTTACAGTTTCATCTTTTGTACTTATCTACCTTTTATAATTAAATATAAAGTAAAAATTGTAAAATAGTAATGATATTAAACTTCAACATACCATTTTAACTATAAACACCCAAGTACATTCATTTGATAAACCAGTTTTAAGGTTTATTTTATTGAATTGCATTAAAAAAAAACCAAAAAACTACTACATAAATTAGTTTGAAACTTGAAATCAAATTTCTACAGACTATGAAGCTTTTTCAAAATAAATTAATTTTACAGGTGATATTAGTACGAATTTGCAGCTTTGAAAATATTTCATTGTGGTATTTTTTTAAAGAAACAATTAAAATGCTTACATCTGTTGAAATTTCAAATAATGATATTTATTTCATCTTACATTCTTGTAAGACTTTCCAATAAAGGTTTTACCTTATAAGACTATAAACTTTATCTTTCTTTTAATTTAAAAAGTACAGTGCATGCATTTGCACTGTGTTGATGATCACTAGTCTTCAATAAAAATAACTTTTTTAACATACCAAAATTAATATGCAAGCCAACTTTTTTTAATTGTTAGTCAGCAAGTTGCATCTAGTGTAGATAACAATTTTTAAACTAATTTTACATGCTTTTAAAAGTTTGTTTACATATCTCTTTATTTTCCTCTGCCCATTCAAACATTTACATAAGCCATTAAAGCTTAGTACAAACACAACAGCAACAGCCTTGTTGACAAAATGAAACCTGATACTAGTATTAAACAGGTAATTAACAGCAACATCACTTATTGCTAGCAATAAACAATACTGGAAATAATTAGGAAAGGGTTAGGGGGAAAAAAGAATATAAAAGACAAGTATTATGTAAATGCCACTTCATTATCATCTGAAAAGAAACTGCACTAAAGTATTATCATAAATTGCCATACCACTATAATACCTATAACAGTACAGGCATTCATACTATGCCCAGTAGTAGTAGCAGTAGTATGATCCACACGTGGCACTCAGGAATGAAATAGTGTATGACAAAGCATGTGGAAAGCATGTTTTAACTAGTCAAGAATGCTCCATGTAAAAAACTGTGGCAATGCTCCATGTTTCAACATTAGCTAGATCAAATAGAGTTCTTAACATTGACTTTGCTACAAACACAGATGTAAATCTTGCATCAAGGACAAGATACACATTTGCACAACACAGTCTCAACAGATGTGTAGATGCGCAAAAACTGCCATTGAGAGGATAGAAACAAACCTAAAGGTTGAATTGGCATCAGACAACAAACAGTGAAATAAGTCAAGCAGGAAGCATGTGCTCTTTAGAGATGAATCTAAATTTGAATTGTTTGACAACAATAAACAACAGCAGTTTATTTAATCTAGGCAGCAGTAGGATGAGGGGTCCCAGCCGGAGGGTTCACTGCATTTTGGATGATCATCTCCAGTCCATAACCAGTGGCAGTGTTAGGTATGCTTCTTTCAGTCTGCAGTGCGAGGAAGTTTCACACCATCTACATCGACAGAACATCACCATCCTACTCTGAACTGAATGGGATAGAGCACACACAGGAGGATACACCATGGTCCAACATCCCAACAGCTAGGCACTGTTAAGTGGCAAGAACTCCTATATTCCTCTTGAAGGGGGTGGAGAAAAGGCAGTGGGGAGTCCAGAGGAACACAACACTGGAGAAAATGCAATGGGTGACCACAAAATCCTATTTTTAAAAGCAGGAACGGAGGAATGGCCAGCTATCCCGACACTGTTTTACTCATGATAGTCCACGACTTGGTAAAGTCTGGGATGGAAATATCTACGATGCAATATACCTGGACAGGCATCATTTGCCACAAGTGGGATCCAACATGCAAAATTGGGCAACTGTAAGGATATAAAGAAGTCTAAAAACACTTACCCACTCCCAGTTGAACTGGGGTGTGGAGGGTGGCAATAGGCAGTATTCAGTATCCCAATGAGGAGATGGTCACATTATAATGTTAATGATAGATGAAGGTGTGCACCCTGGTCCACATGCCAGCCTGAATGATTTCCCCCAAAAGGGCAATGAAAATGGGCAACCAAGGAGAGAGTGGAGTACTAGCTCTGATGCAAGAATATCTGAAAAAAGACACTGGGAAGTGGGAGACAAGGAAGAATAAGCCAACCCCAAATGATGGCAAATCCAATCCATAAGGGTTATAGTAGAAATATCTCGGGTAGAGGATGGTTTCCAATGAAGTGAAGGTAGGAATGGGAATCACAGAAGGAAGCCAGGCAGGCATTGTAGCACCAGAGAGCACGAATAGGACAGAGAAGCCGACCCAGATTGGAGTGGGAATATAAATGGGAAATAGTTGTGAATGTGACATCATCTTTTGGAGCTGCCAACCTTCCGATAAAAACTGCAATCTGTCCAGATACAAGAGAACACAGTTGTGGTGATAATGGGTATGGGAAACATCAAGGGCAAAAAACATAGAACCAAAGACAACCAGAGGCAAAAAGAAGCAAAAATAGGACTTCAAAAACAAGTGGTATATTAAACAAGTAGCCAAGAGTTCAAAAAGGAGTTTGGGTAAGGGTCTGGAGAACTACTTTAATGGCTCAAATTGGAAAGATCATAGAACTAGGTGGATGAAAGAGATGAAAGGAGTGAAACAAGAGGAAAATACTCTACAGGAAAGAGAAAAAAATAGTAGGTATAAGATAAGGCTGCCAGAAAACCAGCAATGGTAGCCACTGATGAACCATTGTAAAACACTTAGAGAAAAATGTCTGAGACATGCGGAACACTAGGGCAGGAAGGGAGGTAGGTAACAATGGTGTAGAGACTAACAGTGAAAATCACACCATGTACACTGATATACTAATAAAGATGAAGGATGGTCTGAATGGGAAAGAAGGTTGAGCAGGCTATAAAAGTGTTATGAGAAAGAATAGAAACAGACAGACATAAAAGTAGAGGATTAACCAATCCTGACTGAATCCTTACTGCCAAAGCCAAAGGATGTGGAACCAGTGACCAAGAAAAAATTAGGTTGGCATGGATTTGAGGTGGGTGGCTAATGTGTCCAGAAGTAGAGTAACCCACTTGGTGCTTAACTATCAAAACACCTAAAGAACTAGAGGCCACTCCATGGGGAGAATCGATCTGCAACATGGTTCAGAGCACTCAGAACATGACAACATAATAGGTGTGCAAAAATTGAATGGGCCAAGAATAGGAATTCTAACAATCGAAAAAAAATCAAACACAACTGTTGAAATAGCAGAATGTATAATGATCAATTAGTCCCATATTAAAAGTTGGAAATGATCCAGCTTGACAAACTGTAAAAAACTGTACAACATTGATGTGCAGAGTTAAATTGACCAAAGAGTCATGATTTCCAAGGAATGCAGAAACACTCCCCAACCCTGAAAGAGAAGCATCTGTAAAGAGATGCAATCCAGGATGAAAAGGTGGAAGACAAACACCCACAATGGTGCTGACCCTGTTTGAGCCACCAAGCTAAATCAATGTGTAATGAGGAAGGGAGAAGGATAAATGAGGCCAAGGGACCCTGAGCAAAATTACCTGTATTGTGCAAACCCACTAAAAGGCATGCAAGAGAGAGAACAACCCCAGAGAATTAGGGCTTTCATGAAAGCCCAAGTCCCCAAAAGAGAAAGAACTTCATATGTAGTAAGAGGAGAAAAGGATTGAGATTTAAGAACTAAAGAAGAGAAGGTTGTGCCCAACTGAGAGAGGAGTGGAAGAACCCTCTCAAGTGGATAATGTAGCATCCTTGAAAAGAACAGTCTGAAATTTTTCAAGACACGCTGGCAAAAAAACTGGATCAGATCCAAGTGATGAGAAATCTGACAAAGTGAAGGCTGTAGAAGACAAGAGAACAAAGAGGAAAGAGACAAGTGTTGACAAGCAGCCCTCACCCTGGACTCCAATGAGGCAAGAAAATCTCCAAAAACCACCTGACATTAAAATGGAGCCATTAAGAAGAACCCAGAAATAAGATGTGGGTATGTGTACATCAACTAAAAGTGCATGCCTGCCCAGGATGTCCCAACAACGAAGGAGCCAAAGATGTAGGGAAAGGATCAAGGAAAACTAGTGCATCAACATGGAAGGCATGAGGAAGTGAGTATCCTCCAAAAACCATTCAGGGGAGCAGTGGATAGTCATGAATGCAAGATGGACAGAGGATAGATAATGCAGGAGGTTGGTCAGGATCAGAATGGAAAGAAAAACACCAGGGTCTGAGATTCTACAAACAGAAATTCCAAATGATGGTACAATAATGCATAAGTACCTGATGGACGAGGCATACTAACTTAATCTACTTAATCAAAGGAAAGAGCAAAATTCAGGAGGGAATGAGAGGAAACAATAGACACAAAGAATATAGACAAAAGGTAACATACTTGAGACACCATGTCTAGGAAGGCCAAAAACTGTGTGGGAGCTTCCACAGTATGAATTCAGGATGGCATGGTGAAGGAAGGAAGAAGGAAACAAGTTAACCAAATCGATATTCCCTGTACAGGCTCCCCATAAATAGGAAAATCTGGTCTGTGATCAGGAGACAAAGCAACTCAAGACTTCCTAAAAGCTAAGACCTCCTCAGCAGACATCACGAGGCCCAAATCCTAAGAAACTGCAGGCTGAGGTGCAGTAGCACTATTAACGATACTATTAAAATTCAACTGAGAGTGGATGATGAAATATCAACCTACAGTATCTAGTTCTACTGTAGAAACAAAAAAAAATTCAAGTAAAACTAGAAACAACTAAGAAAGTCGTTTACCAAATCAAAAGAGAAGATTGGGTTCTTCAAAATAGAAGGAGCTAGTTGCACCAGGAGGGTGTATTGCACTCCTGTTGTTGGAGGGTTGTTGCATGCTTATTTGCATGCTACAACAGAGCTGTACCACATTAAACAAGTGGGGTAGGTGGGAGTATCAATGCTAGTAGAGTGAAAAATGTGTGCATACTGAGGGCTGCATTGAATGAAAAAAGCTACTGTGTGAGAAGTTGTAAGGTATCATATCGGAATGACAATTTGCACCAGCAGCTCAAAGTGTCATCCTAAAACTTCTATCATTGATGTTTTCCACAGAAATCTCCAATCAATTACAGTATCTTGTGCCTTGTTTATTTCTATTACAAGAACTGCATGTATTTGAACAGTTTATATGCTTATCTATGTTTTTCAAATACAAATATATATCACATTTATTTATTTTTAATGTTTGTTTGTTTTGAATTTCGTGCAAAGCTACACGAGGGAAGGCAGCTAGTCATCACTACCCACCACCAACTCTTGGGCTAATCTATTTCCAACAAATAACAAATATATAGTGGTATTGACCATCACATTATACCACTCCCATGGCTGAAAGGGCTAACATGTTTGTTGGGACAGAGATTCAAACCCATGACCCTCAGATTGCGAGTCGAGCGCCCTAACCACATGGCCTTACTGGGCCTTATTTTTAATACTGTTCTATAAAGGTCAGAATATGTAATTTAACACACAGAAAGCTTTTTTTGCAAAAAACATCAGAGTGAGCTAGAAAAAAACTTTATGTTTGTCAGGAGGTTTATGAAAATTATGTCAAACAACTTATGGGCAATAAGGTAATTATTAAATATAGAAAATTAACAACTATATTTGTATGTAAAATTAAGTGAACAATACTCTTTTAACACTATCATTAAGTGCATGACTAACTACCAATGCAACTGAACAAACAATGATTCTCTGTGATTCTGAAAACACAGTTTTTGTAGTTTGTATAGCTCACAGCTACATTGTATATTCTGTTCATTCATAATTTTACCTCTTTTTTGCTCATAATTACTAAAGCTGGTCATTCATCAGTTAATGAATAACAAATTACTGGTCTTACTTCAAAAAAAGAAACTTTTAAACCTATTTACAAATGTGGTACTGGCTGATAGTGACATAACTATTACGGTACTGGCTGATAGTGACATAACTATTACGGTACTGGCTGATAGTGACATAACTGTTACGGTATAAGCTGATAGTGACATAACTCTTACATTATTCTGAGTAAAAGAAAGGAAGAAAGAAGATTTGAACTGCAAGAAAAGTTTATTTTTTCTTCAACAAACCTAATAAGTTTTTTTTTATTGAAATGATTACTAGCACCAAACTTAGGAAGTATTTGAATTATGAATTCAAATATTTGTCTTTAAAGGATTAGTCATTCTTAGTAAATAGAGTAGTACATGTTTACAATTTGTGCACTTATTCTAACCACATTTCTTAGAAGGAATGCATACAGTTTGGGCACACAAATGTAATAACCTTCTTGCTCATGCACAATAAGCTAAGTTTATTAAATGCCAGCTCCACAAACCCCCACACTTAACTCAAAACTTATTTTATTAATGCACAAACTGGCATGTTAAAATATTTTAGTTAAACGCTGGATATATCTACAAATATTAGCTTTGGATACAGTGGCAGAGAACATGATCTAATGTAACTATAAGAGCCCAAACTTTCATGCTATTTCTACTCAGGATACATTTCAAGTGCCAGATCCTTCTACTCTCCTTGAGATACAATTTCTTACCTGCAAATTGTAAGTCAGGATGAAGAGGAAAAATGTGTTTTCTCAAGTACTGAGGGCATTCAAGATATTGCAATATCCTTGCCATCTGTAAATTGGCTTGGCCCTTTTTCTTCACACCTGTGAATTCACCCTCTGTGCTCACCTCCCTGAATATTGAGAACAAATATTGAAATATTATGATATAATTTTCCCAAAACTAAAATTATATTGAATAAATAAGTAACTTTCTAATACATGATATCAGTTTATTGATTTAAACATTACATAAGTCTTCCATTTTGCAGTTAGCCTTCTTTGAAAAGCCATTATTCTTATTATTCATGTGTTGCATTAATTTCATATTTTAAAAGTGCCAGTTTTGTCAACTTTTTACTAAACTTTTCTATTCCTTGTATAAACTAATGATAATCTTATAAAAAAAACATCAAATTCCACAGGTAGAATATTCTTATCATAAGAAATGATTCATATGATATTTGTAATTTTAAAAGCAAAAATAATTTTACATTTCAACAAAAGATCAGCAGATAAAGGTAAATATCTTCTCATCGTTTCATTACAAAATGAAAATATTTTATTAAAACTCAGTAATACACAAAGCTTATTACATATATCAAATAATTTATTACTTCAACAAAAACTTGTGATCTATAATTTTTTTATTTATACAATTCATCATCAGTTTATGTGTAAATAAATTAAGTACATGTAGAATTCAATATGAGAGTACAAGTAACTAGCCTACATTTTTTCCATTCCTATTTCATCAAATATTATTACTTCATCAACATTGAAGATTGTTGCGGCTCGAGCAATCTAAGGAAAGATAAAATACATGGAAATATAATCATAAGGGGTTCAGAGTTTAAAATAATTATGAAAGATTCTCATTCTTAAGGAACTCTTGTTTAAGCACAAACATTTTAAGTGTAACATGCCATTCACATATAAATTATTCAGCAATGATCAGTGTGTACACGTTTTCAGATTACATATTGTTTTTAATTTAAGAAAAATTAATAAAATTGTTTTAAAATTTCAACATTATATTAGGAAGTTCTGTTGAATTTGTATATTCTTTATTCAACAGAACTTCCTAATATAATGTTGAAATTTTAAAACATATCTGCACATTGACAACAAAACATAATGAAAGTAAAACAATATAAATAAATTAGCTCCTCAGAAAAATTGGTAAGCGTCTAAAACACAAACCTGCATTCAATGTAATAAATATAAACACGGACTTATCTCTTCTTTGATAGTCTGCAGCAACTGGAAATGAAAGTCATGTATCAATAAGTGCAAATTGTGTTTAGGAAACACTTATGACCCATGACCTTCATATGTCAATCAGATGTAAAACTTTTTAAGTGGTAACTGTTGTACAAGTTTGATCAAAATCCATCCATCAAACTTTCAGATATCCTGTCTACAAGACTGGAGCTGATGGAAGTGCAGATGAATGGACATGATAAATCAGTATGTCCCACTCTGCTTTGCATGTGTTATCTAAAATCTAGGCTAGACAACTTTATACTTAATATTTTACTTGTTCTGAAAAATGTTCATAGTTGTTTAAATATAGAGGTGTTACTTAAAAGCAAACATAATAAAGGAATTGCAAGGCCATGTACATCATTTCTAGGGTTATTTAATGCTTTAATAACACTAAGTTGCAGTTGCAAGTTCACAACCTACTAAAGTGAGTTGGTTCATTGTAAGTTTAAATGTGAATAACTTATAACATCTAAGCATGAAAAGATAGTTTTTGTTTTTTTTTATACTGGAATTTTTCAACCATTTAGCATTAGCTTTTAAATTGTTTCAGAGCATTAATATTTGATGCCTAACAAACAAAATTCCTACTGAAAATGAGCATTTTCAACATTACTGGATGTGTAGAAAACATTTATATTTCTAAATCAGTTTTAAGTGTTTTATTATTTTGCTTTCACCTACTACAATATGATCCACATATGAAGATATTGCTTAAATAAAACTTAAGTTTATTTCTGCTTCGAGCCATGGCTAAAAGGCCAGACAATGAGCACACTTCAGGAGCAAAAATGTATACATCCAAAAGCATTCTTTCCTCATTTACAGTATCAAGGAAATTTAGTACAAATCTTTTTTTAATTATATTAATTAATTCACATTTACTAAGAATATCCATAAACTATACAGTTCTACACATTTAATGTAAACCTTCATTAAGACATGCAGCCACAGATCTAATCAAGTGACTGTACTTAGTAGTCTCCATCCTCAAGCTCTTGATGCTTTTCTATGTAAAGATCAATTAACTTAAAGGACATTAAATAACAAAGATATGAAACTCAAGATGTTTCCCATCATTCTACAAATGAATAACAGTATTTCTTCAGTCTTGTACCTTTAATTATATAGATTCAGTCTACTATATTCAGCTTCTAAATCTGTTAGGTATCATAAATTTTACATGAAACTCCTGCTGCTGGAGTTGAAATATTTCTCATCTTCTCATCTCCACCAAATTATCTCTTGCATAAACAATTTCAGTCATTTGAGCACCTAAGTCATGCCAGGGTAAAATAAATTCACCATTGGAACAAAAAAGCCACACAGTTTCTGATTAATTCTAAGCTTTTTTAAATGCAATAGACAAACTATGTCAATTGTGTTAAATATTTTGCATGACTGGTTTTAAATGTCAGATGACAACTTGGCTAGCATCTCAATGATTTCTTAATAATTCTATCTCAAAGGTGAGTTAATTTCTATTTATAAAACACAAGATAAAAATTATACATAAATGCATGTAATTATGCAAGTATTCAAGCACAGTAGAGACCTTTTACTTTACTTACTTGACCAGCAAGGTATGTTCTTAATTCTGGAGACTGGGCATTATCAAGAATGGATCCAGGTAGTGCAATACTAACTGTATAATCTCTGCCTACTTTCTCCTTCTCAAGATTTTCTTCTCTTTCTTTATCCTCCTTTTCTTTCATTTGCTCCTCCTTTTGCTTTAGCTTTTCTGCCTTTTGTATCATTCTTTGCTGTTTCCATTTCTTATGTAGCTCTTTCTCTAAAACATTTTATGAAAAATCATAAATTAAAAAACAATCAAAACCAAAATGAATTTAATAATAACCCAAAAACAATTTCAAAATGACCATAGTTGACATCATTTTCTGCTATGCTCATCAACTGCTCCTCCACTGAAACTAAACTTTGAAATCAAGTGCTTATCACAATGATAAAATATTTCACTGATTGATAAAAAAAATCACATAACCTAAGCCTAGTTTGCTTCTATAAAAAAATGCCTTCTACAGTAAAAACTTGTCTTATTGATTTATCAACTCTTGAAGAGTATCAAGAGTATCTTGAAGTGCTAAGATTGGTTGTTGGCTGGTTGTTTGGCATTTTTTGGCAAAAAGCAACTAGGTTATCTGCACCAAAGAACCGGTAAAAACATAAATTTAAAATTCTAGAAAATGCAAAAATAAATAGAGTTAAAAACTAAATGATGTCTAAAAGGCACATAAAAGACTCAAATAGAATAAAAATAGGCCAATGGCTCATAAAAAGTTAAAAACACAATTAAGTTGGACAGTGTCCCCACCACCAATGATACTGTTCAATAACAGGGGTAAACCCGTAGAAAAGACATGTCTAAAATGACATTGCCACTCACAGTCGTAACTCACAGTAAAATATGAGCTATTGTGACCTAAGTGTCACACAGGCTACACATTGGTAGGTCAGAACCACATAAAAGAACATGGTTAGTTAAAAAGCAGTAATCAACACATAGCCTAGACAGAAAAACTTCCTCCTTCCAATCCTTCCGGAAACAAGATGGCCAAAGAGCAACAGAAGGTTTGATCTGGAAAAGCTGTTATGACTTTGCTCACCCCAAGTGGCAACTGGCAAAAAGCCACACCTTGAATACAGGACCGTAGTCCATATATTGAACAGGCACAGCCATGACAGCACTAGAACCGATGGACTTAGCTGTGGTGTCAGCGAGCTCATTCCCGCAAATACCAACGTGGCCAGGTATCCAGAAAAATTCGATGGAAACTGAGGATAGAGAAAAATTGGCCAGTCATTGTTAAATATCAACAAAAACAGGGTGAGAATTAACATTAAGCAATTCCAGGGCCAGTAGAAAGCTAAGAGAATCAGTGTAAATAGTACAATCGCTGTACTGCATAGTTTCTACATAATCCAGGGCAAGAGAAATAGCATACAACTTGGCAGTGAATAGAAAAACTTTAGAGTGGATCCTGCGAGCCACAACAAATCACAGCAGAGCCTACAGAGTCACCTGATTTTGAACCATCCATGGAATAAAAGGATGGTTCGAAAGATATTCAGAAAAGAGAAGATAGTACTTCCAATTAGGAGTATCCACCTTACTCAGATGACTCAATGAAAGGTCACAATTGGGAATGGTAATGAGCCATGGTTGAATGGGCTGGTCATTGGGGACAGCAAAATCATCCAATGCCAGATCCATTTCAGCCAGTTGCACCTGGATATGATAGCCAAAAGAAGGAAATGCACACCTTCTATTCTGAAAGAGCACGGCCCACTGAGGATGAAACACACAACCCCAGGTGGGATGCTGTGGTAAGGATCAAAGCTTGATAGCATACTGTAGAGACAGTTGCAAACGGCAGAGGCGAAGAGAAGGTTCGTGGGACTCGGTGTACAAACTCTGGACTGGAGAAGTGCGGAAAAACCTCGTGCAGAGCTCAAGCCCCAGATAGTGAATTGGGTCCAGCATCTTCAAGGCCGAGATCCTGGCAGAACCATAGATCAGAGACCCATAGTCCAGTTTGGATCGAATGAGGACACAATAGATCTTGAGCATATAAAACTGATCCCTAGGAGGTGGAAGAGGGGACACGGAGGATGTTCAGTGTTTTTGTACATCTGACACTTAGCTGTTTTATGTGAGGAATAAAAGTAAGCTTATGGTCAAAGATAAGCCCCAGGAACCAGGGGAAGAACAAAATCACCAAGACGGAGCTCGGAAAGAGGAAGTTGTGTAGTGATAGCATTAACCTTCATACTAAAAAGTGTAACAGTCAAGACACAGCTCTCAGGGACTCCAAGTTCCTATGGAAAAGAACAGTAAAGTGTCAAACCCACACGTTCTGAATGAAAATGGATAAATGGCCACACAACCCAAATGAGTGGATGTCCTACAAAATGCCGTGTATCCACATACTGTCATAAGCCTTCTCAAGGTCAAAGAACATGGAAACAAGATGTTCTCTCTTGAGGAAGGCTTCCCTGATTAAAGTTTCAAGTCGATTCAGGTGGTCCTTGGTGGACAGCTGTTGACAGAACCCACACTAGGTGAACGAGAGGAGGATGTTTAATTCGAGGAACCAAACCATCCTCTATAAGACCTTACAGAGACAGCTAGTCAAAGCAATTGGACAATAATTAGAAGGAATCTTGGGATCCTTCCCAGGCTTAGAGAAAGGGAGGACAATAGCCTGACAAAAGCAAGTTTGAGTTTCACCAGTGTAAAGGGACAATTATAGTTGTAGACACAATCAGCTCAAAAGGAAAGAGGCAATCACTCTGCCCGAAACTTGATGGCCAAGAATGCTGGGAAAAAAACAGAAGTGCTAGATGCACAAGAAAAGCTCTTGTCGAGAGTATTGCCAATGTTCTGGACATCAGAAACTACCTGGTCATTGGTGAGCATGCCAAAAAAAGGAAGGGAAGCATATCTCCCATTGACCTTCCGAATCTTGTGCCATATAATTTTGGAACTGGTGGTAGAAGAGATGCTAGTAGTGAACTTAATCCAAGATTCCTTTTGGCTTTGACGTCTCACATGCTAAGCATGGGTATGGGCCCACTGATAACCTATGTGGTTAGAAAGAGATGGATACTGTCTGAAGGTATTCCAGGTCCGTTTTGGAGCCTTCCAAGCCTCCTAGCAGACAGGACTCCACCATGGAACAAGGATACCATGAAAAAAATGTCGAGGTCTTAGGAATAGAGTGACCAGCAAACAGACAATGGCAAGATCAAGTTCCATGAGAGCAGTGAAAGAGGGCCAGTTGGCCTGGTCCAACTTCCACCGAGGCATGCCATTTTTCTTTACTAGAAGGATGTCTATTGACCTCCATGGATCCTTCCCTTGGTCGAGTGAGCAGATCTCTGTCATTAGACTAAGATTCCAGCAGCTGAGGGCATGAATGAATAATCGTTCGGCATCTTGGGGTCGAGCAGACACCGGAAGCCAGGGCCAAAGGAGGTGGACCCGGGCAGTCACTGAAAGGAATGGTGGGGACTTGTCAAATCGGTTATCCATTGAAGGCAAAAATACTCTACACATGATGCAAAAAAGACTCTGATGGAGGCACAGAAAGATACATCTTCACTCCTACTGTAGCAGTGGAGCATAGTGCAGCAGCATATGTTCAAGATGGAGTAGAGGACAATAACTTTCGAGCATCTGGGTAGAAAACGTTAACAGTTTTTAAATGCTGTACCTCTTTCTCCACCCATTTAGGGCAAGAACGATAGTAAGAGGGGTGGAAACCACTACAATTAATGCAGTAAGGGTCCAGTTCGCACTTATAGGGGTTGTGCTCTTTGCCACCACAACGAGCACACATCACAGAACCACGACAAGATGCCTTCAAATGACCGATCTGCTGACACTGGAAACATCTGAGAGGGTTAGGAATATATGGCTGTACCTTACAGTTCAGATAACCTGCCTTAACAGTAGCAGGTGGACATGGCGATGTAAACGTCAAAATGATAACATTGGTAGGCAGAATAATTCCTTCTATATGAGTAGGGATACGTTGCACAGCAGAAATTTCTTGGCTGTAGAAGCCAGCGAGGGTGTCCTAGTTGGGGATGTTCTTCAAATCCCTCTCAACAATTACCCCTTGTAAGTAACCTCAATGGGTGTATCCCCAATGGCCTTCCAATTCAAGAGGAGTTCACGTGTTTTGGTGTAGATGTTTCCACCAAGATATCCCCAGAACATAGCTTCTTGACTGACTTTGGAGAAGCAGCAAGCCCTATAATCCCTTCAGAATAAAAAAGGGAGACATTTGCCCTAAAGTTTTTCTGACAAAGAATGCATGATAAGAAAACGAGGTACAGGAGTAAGATGAGTTTAAGACTGATGATCAGAGTCTTCAAGGCATGGTCATTTACCAATGAGCAGAGTTTTATAATTTTATTTTTATGAGGATTTGGGGGATCCATAAGAACAGGAGAAAGATTCAGTGCCCACTGACCCCACCCACCATGGGGTCCTACAAGGGGACATACTACAATGCCAAACAAGGACACTGCAATAATGGCAGGGTTTTGTGAGCACTAGAGCCAAACACCAGCATCAGACACAATGTCCACAACACCCGTTGAGTATGCCCAACCTGGTACTCAGTTGACCCTAGCCCAAAAGGAACAGCCGACTGACCCTGGGGGAGCCACTCCAAGGCCACCTGTCTACAGGAATTCAAGGCCAAAGTGGTGTGTTGCAGTGCCCCAGACACCATTCAACCACCAGGATTCTCTCCTCCCCTTCACGGGTCACCATGCATGGCAAACACGTGGGTGGATGTTCAGATCCCAGAGTAGGTAAACTGAAAGTACAGAATCTTCTCTGGGAGGTCCACTCACCACGTACAGGAATCCACCTCGAGGGGCTAGTGCTAAGAATAATATTTTCTTCTGCTCATGATACAAATTAATGCTCATTAGTCAGTTTACAAATAAATTACAAATTTACATTTTATGACCAGATTTTGCAGCTGTTACTATAAGTCTTAAACAATTAAAATCTATAGTACTCCAACAGATTAATATCTTAATTTTTGCTCAAATTTAAAATATCATAAATGCAACCTTATTCTCATAATGTTTTTATCTTATTTTCACAGATACGTACATCACCCTAAGATCAATTAATAAGAAACTGTTTCATACATTACACTTTAAGTTAATTAAGTTAAAAGATGTCAAAAATATTATATTAAAGGAAAATGTCCTTTTCTTGTTTATTGGCAAGTAAATACAATCATGTTTTGAACAGTTACTACATGCAACAAGAAAATGTTATTAAATTATATTCTTTTAATAGAATGAAATGCTTTTAGCAACAGTTCTCAATAAAATATTAAACCATTTCCATCAATAAAAGGCTCTAAAAATACTAAAAATTCAATTATATTCTTGAAGTAGTTGTGTTTTAAATTTGAAGTATTACTGCATTAAAACAAATTTGACATTTTTTAAAATCTTTTAAAATACAAAAACAAAATAAAGAAAAACAACTTAAACCTAAAAGTATTAAAACAAGGATTATATTAGTAAGTATATGCACTTTAACATTTTCCTTTCACAATTTTAAATAGATTTTGGAAATTCTGCAAGGATATATAATCAGTTGCACAATTATCCTGGCTTCACTAGTGCAACATAGTTTATATTCACTAGACTCATATATTTCTTTTAGTTTCATGGATATAATAGTCTGTTTAGTTTTCCTGAAAAGTGATTTTGAACTGAAGACCAGTAATACATTTCAACATCATATTTAATTTCTGTTTTAATAAATCATTAAATTTTTTTAACTAACTTTTTTAGTTAGAATGTCTATGTAGTTACAATGTATTATCTGTAATTTAAATTTTAAAGCATATACACTGTGCTAACATCATTTATTAATGTTTCAATCCTTACTCAACTCACTACTCTTAAAATGCAGTTAAAAATTATAAGATCCAAGGTGAACATGTTCAGACACACTTTGGTCATGTTTAATGAGACATCACACACATCTACAGATGTTGATATTAAACTTTACCTCCATGTTTAGTGTATTCAGACTCCAGTAAATCATTTAGAACATGAATAAGATGATGTAATGTGAACAATGCGTAGTTGCTTTATATTCTTGTGTTTATGAGATATTATATACAACTTGAGTTAAAGCAGAATTTAGCTTTTTTTTCTGAGTTGAGATGCAATATAAGCTCCGTGAAAGAGACTGACTAATACTTAATTACAATCTAAAGAAGTAAGAAACTACCTCATCTAAGCAGATACAGTTTTAGTTCATTGCTTCACGCCACTAATGCTAAAATTAGTATATATCATATAATTTGCAAGAGAAAATTAACGATCTGCTGGCCATGAGTGCTAGGTGCTCACATTGCAAATGCTCAGCTTAGTGTTCACTACTGCACATGGCATGCTTATTTTTTGGACCTGCTTCCCTGAATAGCCAATAATGGCAAAATACATGTTACTTTGAAAGCCATTCTAAAGAAGACTTTCTAATTTTGACAATCAAACTTTTCAAAAGTGTGCACACTGAACTTTCCTCTTCACATTTATACCAATAAAATAAAGAATATTTGTATCAATTTTTTTACTACCTGACAAAGATTGAAGGGTATTAAAAATTCTGAAAAATTCAGGAAAATTTCACTCTGCTCAAGAATCAAAAATAGGCAACATTGGTAAATGAAACTTTGCAGACCTGTTATGAACATGCATAATATTCAAGTTCAATAAAAATATCTGCCATTTTCAATTCTGAAGCAGGGTAATAACCACATGTACTTTATGCATAATGAGCAAATCTATAAACAAACAAAAGACTAATAGTTTTGTTTCTACTCTTCCTTTTTAATTTTTAACAAAACTACCATTTTGCTGGATTATCATTTCTTCACTAAAACATCACATATTCTAAGCCTAGTTTGCTCTTTTGTGCTACTTTCAAGAGAAAGATTTTACTTACTTTCTTTCTTCCACTGTTTCCAGTCTTTCACCTTGAAAAATTAAAAATAAATAAATAAGATTACCAAATAACAGAACTATACCAGTTGTGTATTGCAATGAACCATTATAACATGTACATCTCTCAAACATTATGAAGATCTAATTTAGTAGATGACATAAAACATTTATTTTGCTTGCATAAAATTCTTAACTTACATAATTTACAAATGCTCATCTATAATTAGCCTACAAGCATAAAAACAGATATGCTCTAGATACAAATTATAGCCATTGCTTAATATATTTTAATATGAAAATGGTAATAACACTTTATGCTTTTCAAGAAATTAAAAAAGAAAGAGTGGGAAACATTATGGAAATAATGGAAATACATTATGGAAATACAATCTATCCATGGTGACAATACAGCCTAAATATAAAACAAAAACTGTATTCACTACACTGTCAAAATTTTGTATATTTTCAAGAGAAACAAAACTTTACTTTTGATATTGAAGATTCTTATTAACAATTATCAATATTTCTCCTAAACATATTTTCTAAGCCTTGATAAAGTATTTTTGAACGTTTAGTTGTTATGAAATGACAACCTATAACAACAACAGTGTCAGATTAAGTGGTTAGCACACAGGATCACCTACAAAAGTTGTAATATTTTCAAAGCAAGAACCAAAACTCGAGCGCTTTCGAATAGTTGACTATTCTTCTTCAAGAGAATAAAGGGTTATGTTTAATGAGTGTGATGAAATGTATAGGCTCGGATGTCGATGTCACATAAACCGGATGTGCAACATGAGTAGGCCTTGAAAGCTAGCCAATCATAACCTAGAGTTATTTGTGTCAGGTTTAGTTTTGTGCCAAAGGGGTGTGCAAAGTTCGTAAGACTTATGTGAGATAATAGTTATAAGAATTGTTAACTAGTTTCTATCAAGATAAAAATTAAATTAAATAATGGCAAAATGTGGTGGGAAATAGAGAAAATAATAATGCAGCTCAATATATAGGAAATCAAACCAATATATATATAGAGAGAGAAAAATTTAAGAAAGAATATTACTAATAATGTAAAGTAAGTTTAATCATGAATTTAGTTTTGAAAATCTTTTCAGAGACTTGTGAAGGTCAAAAACCCCAGGATAGAGATTGATACCATTTGGCATTACAGTATTTAAAAATGCTATCCAATAAGCTTCTTTAATTCCTGTTTCTCTTAAATGTAAAATTTGTCTTTTATACCCATAAGTTTAATGTCTTCAAGAAAGTGTCCATACAACATGGCCTTTGACTCATGACCCATATGGAAAGGGTTAACTGAAGGGGACTCCTACCCTGCCAAATTTATATTTGTGTTCCCTAGTTCTGCTACTTTTACCATTAAGAAGAAAAACAACAATGCAGTAACACTATCAATTCCCTTCAGATAACCTCTAATTCTCTTCTTTATTCAAGAGAAAACAAGCTTAGAGGTCTTAACCTGTCCACACATGACAACCTTTCCATCCTGGGCATCATCCTAGTAGCCCTCCTCTGAACCCCTTCCAATAATTCAATGTCCTTTCAAAGATAAGAAACTCAAGACTGAATAAAATGCTCCAAATGTGGTCTAACTAGTGACCTATACAATGAAATTAAACTCTTTAAACTTGTATTAAGAATGTTTATAGGTACAACCTAAAATCATATTTGCCCTACCACTAGTGAAAATCAGACAGTCCCCAATATAAATAGACATTAATGGAAATGAGAAACTGCAATGGTCCCTGGACAGATTCCCAAGGCACACCACTTGTAACATTAGCTCAATTAAATTGCAATTCATTAATAACTTTTTGCTTCCTCATACCCAGTCAACGTCCTACCCATTTAATAATTTATCCTTTACTCCTAATGATGTGATTTCTTTTTACCTATCCTTTATGTGGCATACCTTTAAATACAAATATAAACAATAAGCTTTAAATATACCCCAAAGTGATATAATAACCTACAGACAACTGGGGACCATTTAGTTGTCCAAGGTTGTCAATACATTCTCACCTTTGGGAAAAGTAAAAATCTAAAGCCACCATTTACTTTTCCACTCTTAAACTCCTGTAAAGTGCTGGCCTCCAATATTGCTAATGGAACTCATTCCATAAGTCAATCATCCTATTAGAAAAAATAAAACTGTCTTAACCGGTACCTGACCAGGTCTTCCAACTCTTAAAGTTATGTCTTCTTCATCAAACAATCCTCACAATACAGCACAAATAAATCAGAGGCTTTTATCCTATTGATCTCCAAGATAATCTTGAAAACTCACCACTTACCCTGCTTTTCTCAGAAAAAATAAGTTAAAAGATCATAACCTATCTATGTAAGATAATCCTTCTCTCACTGGAACCATCATAGTAGCATTACCCTAAAACCTTTCCAAAAGTAGCTGTCTTCAATTGTCACCCAGCCAAGTGTCCACACACATACACACAACATTTAGTTTTCTATGTTGTAGAGATTTCAAAATGAGTACTCAACAATTTGCATTTTTGAAAAAAACAACAACATACAAACAGATCATGATTGTGGCATTATGAATCACATTATAATGCTATAGTTAAACTATTCAATATTACTACTTTTTACATAACGACCAAACAATGATTTATAGGTTATCATCCATTAGTATAGTCACCATCACACTTTTTTTTTGTTCATGTGAAATACTTCATGTCTAAAAAAGTCTTGGAAAGTTAATTTCTTAGATGTAGTGTTACGACAACGGAAGTCACGTGACGCTGGTAACACGTGATGAATTTCTCGATTGATCATGAATTATCGGGTAAGCCCGAGTTTGTTCGAGACACCCTCTTTTTTAGTATATAAGCCTGGCAGAGAAAACCTGGGGGAATGAATGTATGATAAAGCGAACAGTAGTCACGGTAAGTTTCAGGCAAAGTTATCGAGATTGTGAATCGCTGTGGTTCATAGCGTGTATTATAAAAGTTGTTAAGTTTAAAGTGACGAAAAACATACTGACAGTGGAATTACTGTGTACTAAAAGTTTGCATCGAGAAATAATAAACTGGTTTAATCAAGAAAGGACTTGTATCGCTGAAGTTCCTTGGAAAGAAATTCTACCAGAAATCAACAAACAGATACGTAATAAATTGGTGTCAGATGTGGGACAGGTCTTGGAAAGTTAATTTCTTAAATGTATCTATGCAGTAACAATATCAGAAATAATCAAAAACAACAAACCTATTCTTTACTATACATACATAGATTTAAGTAGCATTCCTCATCTTGAACAGTTAATAGATGAAAACAGGATCGAACAAGATTACTGCAATAATTCTGAGCTTGTTAAGAAAAAATTGGGAAGTTTAAAGAATGATAAAGCTCCTGGGCCAGATAATAGTTCCACAAGGGTTTTGAAGGAGGTTAAGGATTGGATATGTGAGCCACTTGCTACTATTTTTTGTAAATCCTTGAACAGAGGGCAGGTACCAGAGGATTGGAAGTCAGCTGATGTCACTTCTCTTTTCAAGGAAAGAAATAAAAATTGTCCCAGTAACTATAGACCTATTGGCCTTACATCAGTTGTGGGAAAAGTTTTGGAAAGTCTGATAAAAGATGCTTTGCAAAGTCATTTAACAAAGTTTGGAATTTTTTTTTGGATAACTCTTTCATCTCAGACTCAGTCCGTGGGACCAACCTTGTAACCATTTTGTGCTTGTTATAGTTTTCATGCTATAACTTTTAAATTAGTAGGTGAATGTTAACAGTTTATCAAAAAAACATTACAATGCTTTCATATGCAAAATAGCTCATTTTTTATAGTTGTTTATAAGGGAGCATTATCCAAATGGAAAGAGGTGAGCTGGATGCCACTATGTTTGATTTATTATATGAGCAATATCTTAGCAAATAGAAAAGATAAGACTTTCTTATTTTATATTCAAGCTTGTCAATATCTGTAATTTGAGTTTCTAATTTGTATGAAACTATAGACTTAATATTTTGACTTCACAAACATCCAATTTGAACCATTGCTACATTCAACATACCACGTGACACACACAAAAAAATCAATGTTTATCTGTGTTTTTTTAATATTTACTTTTAAATTAACAAATTAAGTAATGTGTAGTTCTAAAACTTGAATTAGAATCTACAGTTTGATACCAAATTTATTGACATAAATTCATAAAATAGTAGTTCAATACAATTTTGAATGCAAGTCAACAAACAAGATGACATGGCCTTTCATCTGTGACCCATATTGAAAGGAATAATCAGCATGGTTTCACTAAGGGAAAATCTTGCCTTACAAGTTATTTGTATAGGTTACTGCTTATGTAGATGAGGGTAACGGTGTAGATTTGGTGTATCTGATTTTCAGAAAGCATTTGACAAGGTACCACATAAAAGGCTTGTAAAAACCAATCATTTCTATAGGTGTGGGGGATAAATTAGTTAATTGGATAGAAGAGTAGCTAGATGGAAGAAAGCAGAAGATTGTTATAAATAGAGTTCAGTCAAACTGGATTAATGTTCAGGGTTCAGTCTTAGGACCTTTGCTCTTTTCGATTTACATCAACGACATAGATGAAGGAATGGTCAATAAATTACTTAAACTTGCTGATGATATTAAGATCTTGGGTGTTGCTGGCTGTGAGGAGGAGGATGCTGCTTTACAAAAGAATTTAGATAATTTAGTGAGTTGGACAAATAAATGGCAGATTGGTTTTAATTATAAATGCAAGACAATGTGTGTGGGTTAAAATAATTTGAGTTGTATGGGAATAACCTTAACAGTGTTATGAAAGAAAGGGATCTTGTTGTAATGGTTGATCAGTCTCTTAAGCCCTCCAAACAGTGTGCTGTTGCTAGTGGTAAGGAAAATAGGATTTCAGGTTGTATCTACAGAAATATTTAATATAAGTCTAAAAATGTTATAATTTCATTGTATAGATCACTGATGAGAACACACTTGGAGTATTGTGTTCAGTAATCGGCTTCTTACCTTGGGAAGGACACTGAATTCTTAGAAAAGGGTTCAGAGAAAGGTTACTAGAATGGTGCCTGAGATGGATGGGTTGTCATATGAAGAGAGATTAAAATCTCTGAAATTGTTTTCTCTTCAAAAAAGAAGAGTTAGAAGGGATCTGGTTAAGGTGTTTAAGATTCTTAAGGAAGTTTATAGTGTTGAAATACATCTTTTTTCATATTTAATGGCAAGAATAATAGGATTAGGGGACACAAATACATTTTGGCAAGGTAGGAGTCATCTTAAGGTAATAGTTTTATGTTTCTAACAATGGTTGGCCTTTGGAATGGGTTGCTTTCAGATGTTGTGAAGGCATTAAATTTGAGTATAAGAGAAAGTTTGATAACTATATGAATGATAAGAGCTGGCTTTAAGATTTATATTTTATTAACTTATTTAATTAATAGTAAATTCAAATTATTTTTTTCACTTTCAGAAAAATGATAAAACTGAAGAAAAAATTACATTAAATATAAACTAATTGTTATAAGCATTCAATAGATTTTGAAAAGATTTCCTCCTCTCCCACTTAATTTTTTTTTCTTTTATCTGAAACAACTTTTAATAGGAATTCAAACTGACTACACATAAGTTTAGAACTTTAAATATGTACATTTTATATTGAAGAACAAGTTTGCATACAGTCTTTCATACCTTGAATCTATTACACCTATTTAAATTTGTAAATATTCAAACATTTTCATTCCATAACTCAGACAACCCAAAGAAAGACCCTTACTGATTTTGAATCATCTGTATAAAGTCCTTCCTTTGTGATCTTACATGTGTCAGCTGGGAGAATGGTGATGGTGTCATAATTTTTTAAACTTCCTTCCTTCTGCAAGTGTTTTTTAATTCACTGTTTTGTGGATATATATATATATATATATTCAATTTCTTTTGTTGTTGTTGTTGCACATAAATGTGTGTACATAAATTACACTTACAGGCTACTATTACTAATATTACATCATTCATGTACAGTGCCTTGCAAAAATATTCACCCCTACCAATAATGTCACATTTTGATGAAATACTAATAATGTAAGCAATTCTTTTTAATGAACTTGCTTTTATTCAAACTCTAATGATCAAACTCAACACTGTTATGTGTGAAGGAGGTTAAATATCAGCAAAACCTATAAAGAAAACATATAAATTGAAATTTGATGATTGCATAAATATTCAGCCTCTTAAGTCAGTACTTGGTTGAAGCACCTTTGGCAGTAATTACTGCTGCAAGTCTTTTTGGATAGGTCTCTACCAGTTTTGTATAATGGGATGGAGTAATTTTGCCCATTCTTCATGGCAAAATTGCTTCAATTCTGACATGTTTGTTGGGGATCGTTGATGGACTACTATATTCAAGTCTCACCATAAATTTTCTATTATATTCAGGTCAGGACTTTAACTGGGCCATTCCATGAAATTCCCTTTGTTTTTTTGTAAACCACTCCAGTGTGGCTTCGTCACTGTACTGCTGAAATGTGAATTTTTGAACCAGTTTTAGATTCTTGACTGACTTAACCAGGTTTTCATCTGTGATTTGCCTGTACTTTGCACTATCCATCATCCCCTCAATCCTGACAAGCTTTTCAGTCCCTGCTAATGAGAGGCACCCCATAACATGATGCTGCCACCACCATATTTGACAGTTGGGGTGGTGTGACTGGGTGACGTGCTGTGTTGGGCTTGCACCAGAAGTAATGCTTTGAATTTAAAACAAGAAACTCAATTTTTGTCTGCTCTGAAAAAGGCCTCCTGCCTCATATCTGCAGTATCATTTACATGCTTTGTCGCCAGCTCCATACGAGATTTAAGATGATTCTTTTTCAGTAATGGCTCCTTTATTGACACTCGCCCATACAGGCCAGCTTTGTGTAGGAACCAGGATATTGTCGATGTCTAAACACTGACTCCCATCTTAGATATTGAACTTTACAAGTCTTTCAAAGTCACTGTTGACTTCACAGTGGCATCCCTAACCAATTTTCTGCTTGCCTGGCTGTTTAGTTTGGAAGGGCGGTCTGATCTGGGTAGTGACTTGATGGTATAAAGCACATTCCACGTCTTAATGATGGACTTCACCATACTCAAAGGAATAATCAGTGACTTTGACATTTTCTTGTAACCTTCTCCTGATCTGTACTTCTCTACCACTTTATCCCCGACTTGCTTGGAAAGCTCCATGGTCTTCGTGATGTGAGTTGTGGCTTGAACAGATGCACTTACTTTGAAGTCAAGTTAAACCACTTTGATTACACATAGACCATTACACTAATTTTGTGACCTTTCAATCTAATCTTTTGCACCTGAATTGATTTAGGGTTGCCATAGCAAAGGGGTGGAAAATTTATGCAATTGAGAATATTCTAGCTTTCTTTGAAAATTTAACTTACTTAAATAATATCAGCACTTTTTTTAGCTTTCTTAGTTCGGAGTAGATTGTGCAGATTCTAAATATAAAATCCCAGGTTGTTGAATACTTTTGCAAGACACTGCATTTATAACTCACATTTCTATAGTGCTCATATTACTTGAAGTTTTATATATACTTTGGAGTTATTGAGTTAATTAATGTATTTGCAATCAACCTATAAATTCTACAGAATACAACGTCAGAAAGTGCATGGGTATACGCTAGTTTCGAGTCAGAATTTGGTCCATGTTTGGACCAGGGAGATACAATACGGGGTTCGGTTTAATTTGATTTAACTTTCGTGCAAAGCTACACGAGGGCTATCTGCATAAGCCGTCCTCAATTTAGCAGTGATTGACTAGGGACAGTAGGGTAGGGGGAAGGCAGCTAGTCAACATTACCCACTGCCAACTCTTGGGCCACTCTTTTACCAATGAATAGTGGGATTGGCCTCACATTATAACTCCCCACGTCTGAAAGGGCGAGCATGTTCGGTGACGGGGATTTGAATCTGTCACTCTCAGACTGCGAGTAGAGCGCGAGGCCTGAGGTTAGTGGTACAACTACAAGTTACAACAAATTGAACAATACAACTTAGAAGTTAGAAGGAATGTTATAATTACATTCGTTAAATAATTATTAACACTTTGGCAAAATACCAACAAAGCAGCACTTACATTGTTTTCATTTTTTTCGCTTATATAGGGATTTTTTGCAGAAATAAGAGTTCCACTTTGATGACACGCAACTTCATTCTTAATATCTCTATTATTTAAACTATCCACACCATGCGACTCCATTATACTATATTTGTGCTGCCATCTCTACAGACGTTTGGTAATTACTTTATATTATATAAAATATTAGATTTTGTCTGGTATTTGTATGAACTATTTGCAGTAAAATACCGCAATGTTTGAATAAACAAGAAAAGAATGTAATAAAGTATTGTAATTATTATAGAAAATGGAGTAGTGTTTCCCAATACTATATTATTTTTAACACTCTTTCTGCTTAGTTTGTTTGTTTTTTACTTTCGCGCAAAGCTACACGAAGGCTATCTGCGCTAACCGTCTCTAATTTAGCAGTGAAGGACTAGAGGGAAGGCAGCTGGTCATCACCACCAACCGCCAACTCTTGGGCTACTCTTTTACCAACGAATAGTGGGATTCGAATCCACTATCCTCAGATTGCGAGTCAAGCACCTTAACCACCTAGACATGCCGAACCTTCTGCTTAGTAATTATATTTAAAATAATAACTAATCAAAATCGATTTACTAAAGACTAGATTTTTCATTTTTACTCTTTTTCTGTAGAGTCAGTTTTTCCCAAGGATGTTACAGATGATTTGACTTTATTATTTACGTTTGTGGAATATCCTAATTTGAAAGTGTGTATCTGTGATAAAATTGATTAATATAAACGCATGTTTCCTAAAATGTTGATCATTTAGAAACATATATAACTTATGTTTATTTGTCATATATCTTTCTAAATGATCAACACCAAAACTTCAAAGAAATATTTAACATTTATATATATTACTTTTTTTTTCAGAAAAATGATAAAACTAAAGAAAAAAATTGCGTTACGACAGCGGAAGTCACTTGACGCTGGTAACACATGATGAATTTCTCGAATGATCATGAATTATCGGGGAAGATCGAGTTTGTTCAAGACGCCCTCTTTTTTAGTATATAAGACTGGCAGCGAAAGCCTGCGGGATTGAATGAAGAGAGTTCAGGGTAATTTACGATTCTGTTTCGAGCTATTGTGTGTTTTGTTATCGAGATTGTGAATCGCTGTGATTTATAGCGTGTATTATAAAAGTAGTTAATTTAAAGTGACGAGAAACGTAGTGATTGTGAAATCACTGTGTACTAAAGTTTGTATCGAGAAGGAATAAAATGGTTTAATCCATAAAGGACTTGTATCACTGAAGTTCCTTGAATAGAATTTCTACCGGACATTAACAAACAAGCAGATACCCAACACAATAATGGTTATAAGTATTCAGTAGCTTTTGATAAGTTTCGATAACGTCAAGAAAAGGGGAATACCTTTTTTATGTTACAATGACATTAAGTCACATAACTGTTGTGATATATTGATAATTTCCAGTAAAATTGCCAAAGAAATCCGGTTGTGCAAAAACAGATAGGTTCGCGGATCAAGTATGTTAGTGTGTTTCCCGATGGATGCGACAACTGGTGGACATAGAATAAGACAAGACACTGATATATATATATCATGA